AAAAAAAAAATAAATAAATAAAACCAACAAAACAACCCAACCCAACTTAGATTTTTATGGAAATGCTCTTTTTCACCAGGGCTTATTGGTCCAAATTTAGCGAAATCATCTGAAATTTTATCAAGTATAATGTTTTATACTAACTTCTGCTTCTGTAATCGTTGGTATACATTGTGTGTACAAAACTAATGATCTGATCTCCAGTATTACAAAAGTTGGAGTCAGATTTTGTGCTGTTCAGCTTAGGCCTATGTTGCGGTCTGCCTGTCAACAATTTCGAGGACAAATATTTAATCGAGACTCTTAGTGAGTTGTAATATTAATTGACTCTCAGACTCAAAAGTTTTTCAATGACAATCTGCTTTTGAATCATTTTAAATGCCTTGGGGAAATCAAGAAAAGTACTCTCTTAAGGTTACAACCCCCCCCCCCCACATAAATAAATAAATAAAAATCAAGTTCAATATGTTTTATTTTTACTTTTTGTTTGTATGAATACTGGAATGGATCTAGCTTTCTGTGAACACAACTTAAGATATTTGAGAGATCACATTTTTCAAGGCACTTAAAAGAAAACGCATTTTTTAAACAATTGATTTTGTTATTCTTTACTCTTTTTAATCTCCTGTATTTTCTTCCATTGTTTGTTAATCTCTCTTGTTTTTGTGTCTTATGGTTGATACGATAACACATAAAAGTTCACAATGAAAAATTATCCTTCCGTTTCGAGAATTTTATACACGTAGCATACTCAAGACGAAATTCTCTTGAAATGAACAAAAATACAGATCCGTTACATAAAAGTAAGGGTCCTATGCACATTGATGATTGGTACTGTCGTAATGTCCGTTGAAATATTACATACTTTTTCTGGATAGCTCTAGACGTGATATGCTTCCTAGCATCCCAGTAACCGAGGTTAGCGTCCAGCAGTTCTAGTCGAGCGATTATATCTTAGCATCTAGCTGTAAACAGTGGTCAAGCAGGGATAACCAACCGTCCAGTTGTTAGAATATGGTCGAGCAGAGATGACACGTTGTCTACCCTTGTTAACACCATACTTTGGCGTTTTAGAAGAGTCGCATTAAGTCCCTAAACTAGAACAAAAAATCATGTTGACAAGAACAAACTATTAACCATCTTTATTACTTGTACACATCGATTGCCCCCCCCCCCCTCCCCAATCCAATTAAAGTCTGTATGCGGATAGGCTTTAAGAAAGGGGCAGGATTAGAGTTGAAAAAAGGGTTGTGGTTGGGGTAGGTGGTCAAACAATGAACAAAATCATGCGGTACTTTGTTGCTATGCTGGAACTGGTAACCGATCTCGTCTTCCGGCCATTCTTCGCGGTTTTCTTCTCTCACTCCACACGTAATGCGGGCGGAAAAAAAGAAGTACAGGAATATTCAGTCTCGCGTTGGTGGAGATCGCACCTTCTGTTTCTAGGCTACTCGGAATATAGAAGCATACGATCACGACGCACAGATCTAGCTGTTCTATTTTTCAGGTGAAATGAATAAAAATAGAGTGTGAAGAACAGTTTTTAGATCTTTACGCTTTCCTTTTCTTGGGTTAGTGTTTTGCGGCGCTCGCAACTGTATAAGGTCATATGAGCACGCGGGACACATTATACATTTTCACTTGGTAGGAAATATTGATTTTTGCCCGGGTGGCGGCGGACCCTACTCGATTTTGGACCACCAAGGGATCTTTAACATGCGCAATTTGCACACGGGACTTCCAAGATCTTTCACCCTTGTCCGAGAAGGCTAGGTGTAGATTTTTCCTTCCATAAGATCAGGGGTATGGCTGAAAGACTACAGTAAAAAGGAGTCAGGGAGTAGCAGTAGAAAGGCTACAGAAAGAGCCAGGAGCCCAGAGGAGGGGGCAAAGGAGGTGAGGGTGTGGGGGCAGATAGTAGAGGCGAAAGGAAACGACAGAACATTGCTAGAGAGCAGGAAAGGAGGTGAACGAAGACAATTTAAGAGAAGAAAAATTTTTGCTGCTATTCGGATTCGAACCCGGGACCTATTGAATGAGAGGCGAACACCTTAACCTCTAGGCCATGAGCAAGATCTCCCCAGCCCGTCGTCCTGTACATTGGTTTGTATAAAGTTAAAGGAGAAGGTAGGTAGCATTATCTTCTTATTTGAATATTATCAATGAAATAATACATTCCTGGCAGATTGAAGCATTTAATTCATGATTGTCTACAAACACGCAGTAAACGATAGGTTATATCTTCTTTTCAGGTATGATTTAAAACCATTCGTTTCTTTTCAGGTTCCAGTGATAATATAAAAACCGACACCATCATGGATAGAACGCGTGCATTCAGACCCTCTGAGATTTTCTTCACCAATGAAATGCGAGCGATTTCTGAACTTGTCATGGACTTTATCTTCTCTTTCGTCATTGCCATTGTTGGAGTAATCTCTAACATGCTTGTCATCGTTGTCTTCGCCAAACAAGGTTTCAGCGAGAGCGTAAATATCTCCATGACAACCATTGCTTTGTGGGACTTCGCCAAGTGTCTGGGCGGCGCGATGCAAAGAATGGCAGGCCCTATAAAGCTCTTGTCCAAGGCAGACGCCGAGAGCTGGACCAACATCTCAGTGGTTATCTTCAATTATCTGATCTGTTTCTCTAGCTACGTGACCAGTGCCTTGGCAGCGTACGTCGCCGTGGAAAGATGTCTTTGTGTGAGCATTCCCTTCAAGGTCAAGTGGCTTCTCACGCCCAAAGTTACTCTAATCGTCTGCATTGGGATCTCTGTTGTCGTATTTGGATCATTCGTTGTAATTTACGGCATATACGACATTTACTGGCTGTACAACCCAACGTATAACACAACAACAGCCTTCTACAGGTACAACGACTTTTTCTACGAGCACAGAGGACCACTTTTTGAATACTATAACTTGTCGGGCATCATCTGGCCGACTGTTAGTTTTGTCGTAATTGTCGTCTCCACTTCTATCATTGTATCAAAACTGAGAGAAGGTTCAAAGTTCAGGGCCAGTAACGCTGACGTGGTAGGAAAATCTGATAGCGGTTCCCAACTGTCTTCTCGGGACAGGCAGGTGGTCAAGATGCTTGTGGTCATCATCGGCGTCTACGTGTTCAACCTTTCACCAAGAATAGCTTTGTACATGGCCAAATATTTCATTTATGAATTTTATTTCCTGAGAGAGTATCACAACCTCTTTGTGTTTGTATGCTATTTTCTTTGGGTTTTTGATTTACTGAATGGGGCGATAAATTTTTTCATATTCTACAAAATGAGCACATCGTTTCGGGACACTTTTTTACGCCTAATCTGCCTTCGCAAACCTCAGGCAGACAGCAACAAACCTGTCAACAAACAGAGCGTTACCCACACGACCTCAGGAGTTTGATCCAAGAGCTTCATGAAAGCCAAGACTCCAACAATTCGACCGTTCTGACCCCGCATCTTGTACTGAGAACACAGGGTTGTGGAACCTTCTTTCCTCTTTTATAATTTCCGTTAGAACTCACATTGACTCAAATGGAATTTATAGGTAGCCGTAAACAAAGACATCCCCATCATTATAATATACCCGGTACACCCTAATCTCACCCCCTTATATTTGTTAATATCTTTGCTTGTTAAAAGGCGGTTTTTATAATTTCACAATACCCATTTAAAAGGTTAAATGCCACCCGTTTTGTTTACTCATAATTATTTTTAAAATCTGTCTCTCAGTCTACTCAGTGTGGGTCACGACTCACGATCTGACCATGATTTCGTTTTGCCTCTTTCCCCAGCCACTCGTAAACCCAACTTGTAGAAAGGACCACACTCAGAATCATGCTCTCGCACAAGGACCTATCATTGCGCTAATTTGGTATGTTCTACCTTTTTCAGCTAACGGGCTGCTAGAGCGCCCACAGCTCGCTGTAACCCTGTGAATAGATTTTTTTTCTGAATAAATCTGCCGAAGTCACCTGTCAAGTGTTTTGGTTGGTTTTAAACCTATACGTTGGTTATTGTAAAACGTGTTTAAATAATTTCAAAACCTCTCAAGGACTTCAAGTTCAGGTGAGACGAAGGAGTATCTATAACTATTTATGACTATAAAACAAATCACTTTTATATACACAATAAAATAGCGTGTTAGAAGTGTCCCAATACATGTAGTAAGTTCCCCGTCTTTTGTCTCTCTCCTGCTTTCCCCAAACACAACGTCGTCTGGATTGTGTCGTATATTTCTATTTGAGTCATTTGATCAAGCACGCTAAAAATGTAACATTTATCGCATGAAAAGCCAAACTACAAAGCTTTGTTGTAAAATACGAAACATCTCTTTATGTTTTAGTAAGAGTTTTACGGCATTTGCAGTGCAATAGGGTCAAATAAGTGCTAAATAATATTAGAAGTGTTACTAGAGCGAAACAAACACAGACAAAAAAGAAGAAGAGGAGATAAGGGCGATGGATGTTTGTTATTTGAAAAGCTCTGGTCATCCATTTGTAGAGTTGTGAGTTTTAAAAATAGCTCACACTATGTACAGCACAGACCTAAATGTTAAATAAATTTGGAACCGTTCAAGACATTCTGTCTAAACACACAAGTGGGACTTAAATCTATTAAATTATTTTGTCGTCACGCTTTTTTTGTATTGTCTTCCTATGGCCTGCACTGTGCATGTAACGTTAACATTCAGAAAAAACTCGAGGGCTCACGGCATGGTGCTTCGTACAGCCTTGTCTACTACTGCAGAACAGTCCAAGAGTCGCCTTGGTCTACACACAGTAAGGTTGTGGTAAGTCTTTGAAAGAATCATACAAAAATGTATGGCTCACAGCACCTGCCCGGAAGGAAAAGAGACTGACTGACTTAGTGAAGAAGACGAACACTTGAACAGCACCAAGAGCATACTCATCGATGTTTAGAAATATTGTATTATGCTGAAAGTAATATCAAATGCACGTGAAACACGTTTTGAAATATTATTATCATTTAAAACATTGAGGTTTACCAGTCAAATAATTGCTCTTCGAAAAAATGACTGGAAATATTTTGCACACCTACTGACATAATTAAAATAAACAATTTGCTATCGAGCTGCCTCGACTCTAACTGATGTGGCCAATTAGGGCCGAATTATAGCGCCAAGCTTACTTTAATGTTAAAACAACAAACAAACAAAAAGTTCGCTGGAGCCATAGGCGATACATGTATAATAATCTGGCAAGGCCTGAAGGAGTTGGATGCGCCTGGTAGAAGCGAAGGCACCACTTCGCTAGCCAATGATAACGCACTATGTTCTGTGTAAAGACGAAAGGGTAAAAGGGTAAAGAAACAGGAAGGAGGAAGACAAGATGGCACATATCCGTTAAAGTAAGTATTTCATATATAACATCTGGACACATAATGAATGTCATATAAATTAACTAATAGCATGACCTCCATCGCTAGAGGGGATGTTCCTCTTGCTTTTGTACACGGTGACCTTCGTACCACCTTCTCACTCACTAATATATTCATAGATTAACCCCTCCCCCCACCTGACTCCGATAGTGGGCAGGGTCAAATCAGTCACATAACTCATGAGCAGAGGTGCCCTTAGCGCTGCTCTACTTTTACTACAGTGGTGATGATAATGTTGATGATTACGAGGATGATGATGACGATTTTAAAAGATCCATTTAACATGCCTGAAATATATTCAAGTCTCCGTTACAATTAATTTCATTTAGCTTACAACAACAACGATGAGGATGATAATGATGATAATAATGATTAATGATGATGATGATGATGATGAAGCTGACGACGATAAAATGAATTTCCGAATACCGTGACTGACAAGATAATCAGTTACCCCCAGTGGGTCGGGGGGATATAAATAGACCCACTGCTTCGTCTGCAGAAGGTGCAAACCCTTCAAAGGCGAGGTGTCGCACTCG